CATGCCTGAACCAACAAGCAGACCCTTGAAGCGCGTGTCTAATCCCAGAAGGATACTGGTGCTTACGCCAGATAATGAATCGCATTCGACCATACCAGTGCTTCTTGAAAGATTGACCGGTGTACCGGTCGATGTTGCTGCACTATCGCACAGGGATAATGAGGGAGTGGAAGCAGGGTTAGAGTCACAAGGTAGAGTTTTCATTGATCAGCGACGTCCTGATGCTCTTTACTGATTCATGCATCAGGAACAAGCACAGATACATCGCCATCACATACATTTGCGGGCTACGTATCGCATCCGCCTCTGAGACTTGATACCAAGTACTACAAAGCCGACGTGCCAATATGGGTAGATGAGCTGCCATCATCAAAGCCCCCTGCATCAGCAAATACTACAGAGACAGCAACGGCAACGGCAGCGGAAGAGACACCAATTCACAGCCTAGATGACTGGAGGACATTGTTCTTAGGCGAAGAGGCCAGGGAGGTTCGGGATGTGATAGGCGCAATAATCATTTGCGTCCAGCGCCCGACTGAGGGGATGGTCAGCTCGTCGGTACCTGGTGAGCTAGTACCGCAAAACGCACACGAACTCTGCGAGAGGCGCGCTCAGACACTGAAGGATGCTGTCAGAGCTGTTGCTGATGTTAAGGAGCTTATCGAGGAGGAGCGCGGTGGGCTTGGTGAAGTCCCTGGGCTGCTCGTCGTTCTGGATAAAGAGGAAGGCAGGACGGGCCAAGCTGTGGGAAGCTCCAATGACGGGGAAGACAGAGATGAAGGCAGTGCAGAACAGCCACAGACCCTGCTAGGCTCTGCTTGGTGGGATGAGGAGCTGAGCCAGATGGGTATCTTCGAATTTGAGGTCATTGGCTGGGATCCAGAAGCGCCAGAGATCAAGGGGGCAAAGAACGAGTTCGGAGGTATGCATCTGCATAATCCAGCTATTTGCTCATATGGGGGAAGCGTGCTAACCTGCCCAACAGAACTTCAGGGGATGGAACGCTGTATGCAGGTTCTCGAGACACACGAATGGGACGCGCCCCCAGAGGACGACGACACCGAACCCAACCAGGATGGTCCGACTCGGCCTACGCCGCAGGGCATGATACGGCCCGACACCTTTAACATGGCCGGCGAGGCAAACTTTGACACGGACGTTGACGGGCTTGACTTTGAAATGGCTGGCCTGCATATGTCTCTGATGCAGGAGGAGGACATGGACGATAGGGCTGGTGTGGCAGACAACGATGGTGGCGAGGAGTTCCAAGTGGAGCAATTGGAAGGTTTGATGGGCCGGGTTCAAGCTTTGAAAGGTATGCCATGACTCTACACGACACATGTCTCCCAAGGGTTACGCATGATGCTAACTAGTTGATTCGTCGTTATAGACATGGGAGCTGATTTGCCCTATGAGGAGCGCAAACGGTTGGCAGCCAGGGCTGTCGAGGAAATTATGAAAACGATTTAGAGCTGAGCGTAACGGATCTCCTCAATGCCTCGAGGGGTCACGCGTCTTCCACTGCTTGCCATATCTGGGCAACTTGTTGCATATAATTATCGGATACCCCTGTCATTTATCTATTGTGTCTACAGACTGTAGCCATCTGATTTTGCAAAGGCACAAACGGATGAAGAAGCACTTGTTAAGGACTACGAGCATCGTGATTGTCAAGGGTGGTTAAAAATAATTCAAGCACGCAAAAATGAAGGGCTCAACCGGGGATCGAACCCGGGGCCTCGCGCAATTTAGGAAGAAGAACCCAAAGCGCGAATCATACCTCTAGACCATTGAGCCACAATAGATTTTTCATGCTTAGTAATGCTTACAGTCATTTATATAGCCTCGCGAAAATAAAGCCAATCAACAGCTTAGCAGAATAATGAATGCAGAGGCATATGGACAAATTGATGTCGTATGATAGCTGGCTTCATTCACAAATAGCATAAATGCATGCCATACGGAGTAAGATTTATGTGTATTGATTTTATACTCAGGATCGCATTGCCGAGGCTTCCATTGCCGAAGGAACTCCCCTAATCTACCGTGTCTGTCTACCATGCGCCGCTTTACCATCTCTACATCCTCCTCCTTCCACTACGATTGTTTAGCCATGGCAGACGAGATATATCCCCTTCCCTGTGTCTTCTGCGAGATCGCAATCTCGAGCCCACCTCACCGGCCCAGCACTAGATCGTTGCAGATCGAACAAACCAAGGCACACGACAATGAGCAGTCACCGCCCCCTAACCTTGTCATGTCTTCAAGAAGCGTGCTTGCGTTCCTCGACATCATGCCCCTGACCAAGGGCCATCTACTGGTGACTCCGCGTACGCATTATCATAAGTTGAAGGATGTTCCAATTGGGGATTCCATGGAGGTATGTACGTTTTCTTGTACGCTTGTCACATGCATGTCCTGCTATCTGGTTTACCTGGCCGTATATCGCGACAGCCATTGCCTTCTTTATTTTCGGGCCTTTATTACCCTGTTGTAATGCCTATAGAAAGCCAGCACCGGCCACGCCAGTATTGCATGTATTCGAGCGCGAGACGTTAAGATTAACTCTTCCCCTGAGTCGAGTAGCTAGGAAAGTGGCTCCCCATCCTCTCCCGAGTAGTCATGAACGTCGTGCTCGGAACGGAACCCGATGAACGAGGAGACGACCCAGCGCACTGGAACGTCGTGCAGAACAACGGTAAGCACAGGACGTAGACTCATGCCTGTGTAACCGATTCAATACGACCTATCTGACCTTGTTTGTCCCTTTGAAACCAGGTATTCGCGCCTCGCAAACTATCCCTCACGTCCATTATCACATCATCCCTCGCCCGCCTGTCGACTATACCAGCAGCTCCTTCGACGGCGGCAGCAGAAGTAAGGCCGCGAGAAACTCCAGCGGAGCGATCGTCTTCGGAAAAGGCAAAAGGGACGATTTAGATGACGATGAAGCGGAGGCGTTGGTGCGAGCGCTCAAGGAAGAGCTGTGCAAAGAGATCGTGCGGATAAAGGATGTAGAGGGTGTCGATCTGTGGGAGGACTTTGATATCGGGGCGCACAAAGGAGACGCGAAGGCAAAGCTATGATGTTGGAGCAAGCCTCACGTAGCACATATTTCTCAATGAGCCCAATCGATGTTTCCCACGCTTATGCCGCATCACGCTTGTGCGGAGTCTGCTTCGCTTTTAGCCGGCGTTGATGGCGAGAAGTACTATAGCACGTTAGCGTGAGATTCGATGGCCAAACGATAACTGAAAGAAAAGACTTACATGTCTCCTGAATGGGTTGAGCTCATCAGCGCTAGCACCCACGTTCTCCCTCTTCCGCTCCACAACCACGACCTCACCATGCTTCTTCTTATACGTCAACAGTCTCCTCGCCCACTTATTAAACACCTGCACGCAGACACTGACAAGCTCGAGATTCGGATTCGAAGGGACCTCAAGCTCGACATCGTCCTCATTCGCCGTAGGCATCCAGAAAGATATGCGCCCATCCGGCACGAGCGTGATGGCCGCAAAATCAAGTATGTCGTCGATCATGGAGGAGAAACCGTAGGGCTTCTTAGGCGGGATGTAGCCCTCCATGTAATGCGTAGGCACCCCATCAACGACGACGGGCTCCCTTTTTACGCCGTCCCTGTGGCCCAGCACCTTGAGGCCCTCACGGATGCCGTACGGCGGGTCGCATATGATGCCGTCCAGGAACGGCCTGTTGAAGCTGTTGCCACCCAACACGAACGGTGTGTTGGTCAGATCGCTGACGAAGCAGTCTACGTAGCGGCTCTCAATGCCATACTGCTGCAGATTCGAGACGAGCCCGATGCTGGACGTTGGCTTCTTTGCACCAGCCTTGTGGCGCTGCTTGCCTGGGCCCCTGAAGCTTCGCCCGTCAATGTCTGAGCCGAGTGTATGCGCGCCGAAATGCGCCATGGCGACGCAGAAACTCCCCGTGCCAACGAAGGGGTCGTAGAAAAGCTTCCCCGGGGCGGCAAGGGCCATGTTGGCGGTGATGAGGGTCAGCTCTGCGTCCATGGAGGTAGTGCTGATGTAATTCCTCTTCTTGAGATCGTACTTCTCCGGCACCTCTCGACTGCCATTGGCTATGAAGCGACCAAAGTAGATCCTATTCAGCTTCGTCGGTGGGGGCACACCCTTGGTGGGCGTGTGATCAGACAGGCGCTCATAGAGTTCATGTATGACGAATTCCTGCTCGGGATCGGCCATCTTGATGGGTCCCTGGAAATCGAGGTACGCGAAGGATTGGATGATCTGAGTCTTTTCCCTGCTCTCGCGCTTGCCGATGTAGGCGTCGAAGGTAAACTTGAACGATGTAGTCTTGAAGTCAGCCCAGCGGCCGGACGTTCTCCGTTTGATGTCCGCGTGCAGTTCGTCGTAGGTGCTCCCCTCGCCCCAGAGCTCGTAGATGCCTTTCGAAAGTATGCTACGCGCAATCAATGCGCGCGCTGCATCTTCATTGTCGAGACGGACTATGCATATCGGGGACTGTCATGACTTGTTAGTGAGGGCCAGGACAGTAGCAGGGAAGAAAGCGCTTTTGCGGTACCTGTTCATCGTAGGATAGCCACTCAATATTCAATCCATGGAGCTGGGCAAGCGCGTCCAGTTCGGGTTTTCGAAAAGTTTCGTGGACCTGTGCCAGTCGGATGAGATATTCCATGATGCTGTAAATGCCGTCCTGACCTGTATCTGAACAGGCTGGAGAATCCTCAGTCTTTGCTTCTCGCTTCTAGCCTCAGTATGAATGTATGCAGGGCTCGTGATCGTTGCTTTCTTCATTGCAACTGCTCTCCGCATTGTATGGTTGACAACTTTTTTTGATAGAAAAATCACCGACAGTAAAACTGTCTGTTGTGTACTTAGAGTAACGCCTAAATAAAATTAATAGCTGTAATGGCTCAACGGAAGACACTCGGTCCGTCCAACCCTTCGCGAGAATTCCTCGCCGGGTCACGGTGCCTGGGTTCGAACCCGAGAGTCGCTAACCCACTCGTGCAGGGAACTCACGATGCTGGGTGGCGCTAAGCAATGAGGAT